CACACACACACACACAAACTAAGACAGGGAAAGAAAATGTTCGTATGGACCTTGAGGTGTTTGAGGTAAAGCAGGGGTTTTCAACATTTTTTAGTCTAAGTACCCCTGGTGGCCAGACGCTGAGTGTGTGTGTGTGTGTGTGGGGGGGGGCAGTCTGTACAAGACAGGTACAATGCGTGGTCAGGCGGGGATGGAGCACTGCTGCCTCCCAGAAGCAGGACCGAGGCAGGGTGGGGAAGCTCACTGGGCTGGTGTGTAGCTGCGGCAGCTGCTGCGCACAAGCTTCCCAGGCCCACAGAGGGGCACCACTCCCTTTTCCCCGCCCTGGCCCTGCTCCTGAGAGGTGGCAGCGCTCCATCCCCGCCTGCCTGTGTGTACCCCTTAGGACTGGTCCAAGTACTCCCAGGGGTACTTGTACCGCCGGTTAACAACCCCTGAAGTAATTACTGCCAACTCGCTTCTAATTTTCAGAGTATATCTACGCTGCTTTAATCACAGTAATGACTACACTGTTGTACAGAAGTCAACACTAGCTTTACTACCAAGAAGGCCTATCCCATGACAGCAGTATATACCTGTCCCTATTCCATGATGGCCTCATCCTGTCTGAATGGTAAAATTTGATTCCTGGTTACTTATATGTATATACAAAGTTATTATTAACGCCTGTAAGATTCTTGCTTTGTATCTCCTTCTGGATTTGAAGTGCTCCAGGATGCTTTATGATTTCACACATAGAGTGTTGAAGCTTGTAAAGATGCCATATCATGGCATATCATAAGCTTTTTTTGCCTATTACATTTGGCACACATCAATCTTCATGCTTGGAAGAAAACACAACCCACTAATATGCATCTTCTTCAAGTCGGGTATAGGAAACAATCTGAAATTAAAGATTATTTGAAGTTATTTGGCTCAAGAAAGTCAGGGAACAAGACTATGTAATCAGGACAGTTTTTAACATTTTTCACCTGAGCAGGTATCTTGTGCAAATTTCTTGCAAGCCTGAGAAAAACAAAGGAAAACAGGTGAAGCTGGATCATAAAGGGGATATGTGCTAATCTACCTCTAACACAGGGGTGGGCAAAGTCTGGCCATGGGCCAGATTTGGGAGCAGGGGACTCCATTTCCCAGCAGCCCCTGCCCGCATTGCTACGGCTGGTTTCTGTGGAGACCCTAGGTGGGGTGGGGCCGTGACAGTGTGGGGCTGGGTTTTCCATGGAGACCAGCCTGAAGCCTCACTGGCAGGGCACGCAGCTAGGAGGGGAGCTGCTCTGAGGCTGGGATTTTGCAGTGGTGAGAGTGTGGTCCAGGGTCGAGGCAGAGCCACAGGGGTGTGCAGGCAGCAGATTGTGGCTTTGCTCCAGCTCCAGACTGTATGGTCACCACTGCAAAAACCCAGCCCCAGCACCAGCGCAGCTCTCTGCGCTGCCCTGCCAGCACTGCATGAGCTAGTCTCCACAGAAACCCCAGCTCCCACACTGTCATGGCCCTGCCCCTCTGAGTTTCTATGGAAACAGGCCACAGCAATGTGGACACTGGCTGCTGGGAAATGGAGTCCAGCCACTGGCAGGATCCGCCACTTTGCCCACCTTTGCTCTAGCACTTCAGCATACAAATCTGAATTTGGCCATTTTTTCCTGCACTTCTGCAGCTCATTGGCAATGGTTTAGAGACCATTTTTAAAGTCAACATAATCCTGCATCTGACATCCCAAACATGTCATTTAAGAAAATATACTTACCACTGACTGAAGTGGTGTTCCCGGAAACATGAACTGCATCTGCTGGGCAAGCATTGCTGCTGCAGTTTTCTGCTGGATTAAGTTGTTTCTGCCATTAATTTCTAGTTGAGTTTTTAAATGTGTTGGTGGATGGAGATACTTGCAGTTCTCCCTCGTACAACGTCCCTGAAAAAAAAGTAATTTGTTACTTTATAGCTTTTGATGGCAGTTTAGCACCTTGAAGCAAAATATTACACCATTAATTAAACAACAACTATTGAAACACGCAGATTTTCAATAGAATCAAGTGACTGCCTTGGAGGTGTTCACAGGCTACAGTTTAGCTGCCAGCCATTAACCCTAGTGGGTCATTAATGCTATTATGCACTGAAAATGAAAAAAGGCTTTAAAAAAAAGCAAGCAAAGAGCACTTTAATTGGTAACTAAAGGGTACTGCTGTGAAATTAATACCTGAATCTTAGCTGGACTACTTAGATTGGCTTTCAAGATATGCTGACCAGGACATCTTGTCTTAACATAGTATAAATGTTCATGTGAATATCAGTAATACGAATAATAGCTTTTCAACTAGCTATATTAAAAGTAAGTGTGTTTGTAAAAGTATAAATCTTAATTTTTCTGCCATTCCCTATGCTTCCATTTCAAGGTACATAAGTATGTATTACAATTTACAGCATATAGGGTCAAGTCCTTGGCCCAATTACATCAGTGTTAGTTTATAGTGTTTCCATTGAAGTTACCTCAGATTGAAGGTAGCCTAATATATCTGAAGATCAAAATTAACAGAAATAAGAATGGCTGGCCAGAAGGAACACAGCTAATACTACTTGGAGATGATAAATCCATAACCGTCTAAAACAGACATTGTTTAACTGACTTTTACCTCCTGCACCCCATTATATAATTAAGATAAACACTTTTAGATTATTAAAATAAATGTAATCATAATATAATATTACAAAGCATGTAGCAGCAAAATTGTAAATTCAAAAACTATATATAATCCTTAAAGTAGGCATAATGAACATGCTTCTCTCTCATTTTCCTACTGGAGTAGAATGTATAATAATAAACAAACAGAAATAAAGTTTGATGCATATAAATTGCAAGTTACCTTGTGGGTGGTTCAAGTTTCTTTAAATCACAGGAGAGGCTATTAGCTTGGCCTTATGAGTGCCTGGCTTTAACCAAGAGGGGGCAGTCAAGAGATGCACTGATATAATTCCTCCAAACAACTGAAACCATGCTGAGAACTAGCAGAAGCTAAATCTGCCCTCACTGTTATCAAGTGGGACCAACACAACATACCTGTATTAGGATGAGTAGTTGCAATTACTACAATTTTATAGCACATAAAGATTGTGAGGTTTTAAGATAAGCAAGCAGAGCGTCATCCAGCAGTAATCAGATTCTACTTATGATGCACAACATGCTACTTGCAGAAGCTATATTTTTAAATTGAGGAATTCGAAAAATATTTTTGGAATTTCCTGTTCCTCAGTTATAAGCAGTTTATGATTCCTCCCTAGAGTCTAGCACAGCCAGAGAAAACAGTTAAAATATAGAGGCAAAGGCAAAACATATTACAGAGCAATATAAGTGCTTATCAAATATCGCCATAGGGAAGAAATACTACCCACAGAAATATCTTCTTGTGCCAAGAGAAGCATAAAGATTTCCATGAAAGAATATGTATTCATATGAATTTACTTCCTATAAAACCTCAATATCTGAGGAATCTTGGAAGGTGAGAATTAACACCATCTCCCCTTTCAACCTCTTAAACACTGCCAAATTTTACTCCAAGCTGGAATGAGCTCTTATTCTCACTTTACCTCACAGAATTGACTCCCTCTCAGCTTCCATGTTCTGAGTGCCTCAGTAAATTAAAATAAGTAACTAACTAAATAAATAAAGCAAGACCAAATCTTGTGAGTACTGAAATAAAAAAAACCACTCATTTGTAATATTCCCTTATAAATCTGAAATCTGGGGTCTTATCCCTTATTCCATGGCAGCTTATATATTTTGCATTTAATAGCTATTCCATAACATGAACAAACAACAGTGGAAGTTGGGAATAAAACTCCAGACTCTGCAACCCAGGTCCATATCACTTAGCTAGTCACACTTCCTCTGTGCTGCTCCCTCTCAGTCACCAGGACTCTTGCCTTTTTGGCTGAGGAGTCTACAGACTTTCTGGTGACTGAGAGGTCAGGTGGGGTTAGGTGGATCTTTGGTTTAGGCAGCTAAATTGTGCCTAAGTCCCACTTTAAGCACCTAAGTGTTTTTGTGGATCGGAGCCCAAGTTTAAATAAACTCGTATTTCTTTCCTACAGACACATTACGCAGGGTCAACAACTCTCTCCCCCCAGGCCAGTGAAACCAATATACCACACAGAAGAAAAAGTATTTGAGATGCGAAATCAGCATCAGAAAACAGAAGGCAACTCATTGGGGAGAAATAATAAATAAATCAATCCAGCAATATGCTAGACAGCTACAGACTGTTTTGCAGAACTACTGCAGTACCAGACTCCCTCGCAAAAGTTAAATGTGTAAAACAAGAATGAACTCTCTGCTTAGCCTGGTTCATTGTCCTTAAAGGCTAGGGATAGACATTCAAAAAGCCTGAGCCTGAATTGATTCAATCTTTGCAGGTTAGTCTAACCTGGCCAGGCTGAACTGGTTTGTTACAGTACAGACATCCCCTCTGGGCTGAAGAAATGCAGGCACATGCCTGCAGTGGGTCAAGCCAGAAGCTGGGGGGTGCTAGAGCAGCCCTCCCATCCCTTCCAAAGGGCTGAGCTGAAGGGGGCGGTGGTGGCCAAGCCCCGGCAGGACACTCTGGTTTCCCCTCCTTTTAACCAGCCCAGCAGGGAGTTGATAACACCATGTTTATCACCCCTAACTCAGTGTTTATCACCCTATCAAGAAAACAAAAGGCTGTCTCATTAGTGCAAGCTCTTCTTAAATAACTTTTTCCAAGGAAGGAATGGAGGGACATTATCAGCTAACCTGTTGATTAGGTCCAAAAAGCCCTAAGCGGACACTGTCCTGTCTACCGTTGTCCTATCTGCCTTACACGGACACTTCTCAGCATTAGCTAGCATACCACATGCTGGCTACGGTATGTGCTGTGGAAGAGGGGAGGGGGTGGGAATCCCTGCTTGAGCAGGGAGTGGTGAGGGGGGCTTGGGCAAAGGGAAGCCAGGCAGAGGGGCGTGGAAGAGCACAGAGCCTCACCCAGGGCTGCAAATCATCTGGAATGCTTGGGGACGCTTAAGTTAAAACAGGAAGGGGTCTGGGACAAACATTGCATAAACCAGTTTGAGCCAAATCAGTTAAGTCTGATACTGCATTCAACCAGGTTTATCTCAAACTGGTTTCAGCCATTTTCAAACTGGTTTATGTGCACTGAATGTCTCTTCTGTTACAGGTGTAAATCAGTTTCTGATCATTTAAACCAGTTTATATGTAATGTCTGTCCCTAGCCAAAATGGAGATGGAAGCTGGGACACATAAAGGGGTTCAAACCAAGGAAGAGTGATGAGCAGGGATCCTGGTTTTCTCTGATAACCTCCCCCCCCAATTTTTGGATTAAAAAACATAACCCAAAATGTACATTTTTCCATGATCAAAATGAAACACCACTAATATACAGATAATTGGAAGGTTTTTTTTGGTTGTTTTTTTTTTTTTTTAGAGAAAACCAGGATCCCTGGTGATGAGCAACTGGAGGAACAGACTGAAACTGAGATGCATTTTCTACTCCAGAGAGTGGCACCCCAGGTCACTGCTTCCAACAAAGCTCCAACATGGGCTGCACCCCTGCATCCTGCAATTAGCAGATGCAGCAAAGGGAATAGATAAAAAAGGCAGGTGCTAGAACTCTGGGGATGCCTCTCCAGGAGCAGCTGAGAGAATAGACTGAATTTACAGGCAATAGGACCCTGGGGACCCCTCCTCTACCACTGTGGCTGCAGCTGCCCAGAGCTCAGGCTGGCTACAAACAGCTGTGCTAGGCTCATTACCTTTGTGCTGGGAGCGGGGGAGACATCAGGGCTGTGCTGCCTCAGGCCCCTCCGCCACTGCCCGCTTCGAGGTGCACCTGCACGCATCGGTACGGAGCTGATGCTGAAACCTGGCACAGCTGTTTGGAGCCTCCCAGCTGCAGCCAGCCCTGGGTCTGGGGAGCTGCTGCCAGCTGGGATCCCGGGCTGCTCCCAGCAGTTAGCTGGGATGCTGCAAGCCTTGCTGGGAGCAGCCCGGGCTCCGTCATTGGCAGCAGCTACCTGGAGCCGGGGCTGGCCATGGTGTGCCAAGCAAAATGGCCTCATGTCCCATGCTTGGCATGCGTGCCAGGGGTTGCCAACCCCTGTTATAGGTAGTCAGGATGCGCATTCAATGGTTGCCAGCATGGAGCTGGTGTTGGGGCTCCAGAACCCTGGCATCAGCTCTGTGATGGCAGTGACTGCACGTGTGCCTTGGGGCACACGGCAGGGGACAGGTTGGGGCTGCATTACCTCAGGCCCCTCCCCCGCTGTCCATCTACAGTTGTGTGCACAGCTGCCTCTGGCACAGAGCCAGGTTGGGACTCCAGAGCCCAGTGCACAGAGGCAGTGTTGGGAGGAATTTGGGGGGCTATACCCACCCCAAAATTTGCCTTACCCCCCCCTTCAGCCACCCCTCCAGTGCCACCCAGGCTGCCACCTGCCTGCTCTGAGCCCAGTCCCCACACTGGGAAGAAGCTAGCACCGCCCATGCTGGAAGTCCCACACCTTTGCGGGCTCAGCTGCATAGGGTGGACAGGCAGCAGTCACACTACGAGGGTGGTTAAGGTGAATTTTGTGGTGGCTACAGCCCCCTCAAGCCTCCCCCCCAGTGCTGCCCCTGCATCTGGCTGATGGGTAGGCTCCATGCTGGGGCTCTGGCAGACCATGCTGCAGCCTGGGGGCTGGCTCCCTGGGGAAGCACAGGGGCTGCGGTGGGCCCGGGGCATTGTTGGGTCAGTCTTTGTCCTGAGGCCCTGCAGCCTGGCTATGTGTGCATGTATGTGTATGAATGTGTGTCTGGTTCTATGTGCTTGTGTCTAGTAATGTCTGCGTGCACACGTGTGTGTGCATGTGTGTCTAGTTCAATTATCAATACAATGCAACCCAATA